TGGAGATGGAGGAGTATATAAAGTGATGATCAGATCAAAAGTGGATAAAGTGGAGGTTATGGCGGTCAGCGCACCTTTATCCATTTTATTGCCTCATACAAGCTCGGCGAGGCTGCAGAGAGCTGAATCATGTGCCGATCTGCAACGCTGAGGCGTTTATATTCACTTCTTATTGGCTATCCACTTTTGGATATTGAATAGGCGATCGCTATCGGAGCTCGCCTGTTGGAGGAAACATGTTGCGAGATGATGAATTTATTGTTTGTGCCTATGCATCTGGTGTATCTTTTATATATATCAAGATTCATTTATGTCGTCAAAAATCACTCTTATCAAGGCATAGGCGTCTAGCCCTCTTCAAGTCTCTCAAATTTTGAAGCGTTCTTCAACTTCTTCAGGCTTGCTGTACCGAATCACTCACAAAATGGTAAGAGATTTAAACGTTGGTAAAACTCTTAATGCATTCACGAAATCTGTTTCACTAGTTAAGTCGAGGATAATCTTGTCAAATCGAGAGGTCCATTAACCAATGAGCCATTTGGTGAGTGATTTGGTACTCACAATTTTGAAATAGTGTTCAAGCACAACACTTACAAAATACAATCTTCTCAACAAGCTTAAGGCTACCCAGGGCTCTCATCTTCCCCTCTTAAAAATGCCTTCCTCTTCCTGCTCCATGCCTCTCCGTGCGTAGCCTGGGCTTTTTTAAAGTCAGCCTGTCCCGGCCTGGGGCCTGGATTAGGCTAGGAGGGGAATTTGAGAGCCCTGAGGCTACCTGAACTTAAACCGCGGCAGTTTATGTCTAAGGAAAGCGAATATCCCGTGAACCATAGGTCGTGAAGTCTCGCCTGGCTGATCCGCGATTTTTGTGCACCGCTGTCCTTGTTGAAGCTTTTCATTGGCTGTCTCTGAGCGAAGTGATGCTCGGGCACGCTCCGATTCCAGTATTTTATCAGCTGCTTCCATGGAGAGGGATGGACAACAAGCAAACTCAGACAGTAGACGTTCCGCTGTGACTGCAAATCCGTGGGAAGGCAAGTTCTCCAAGATCTCAATATCTCTGGTCGAGAGCGGCATTATCTGAGGTCGGCCTTTCCAAGCATCTCTCCCTTTTCTTTCTTCCCAATGGCGACGAATATGTAAATATCGTCGCACTTCGCCCAAACCAAATATAGAACAGATTCCACAGTTCCATAACACATCGTCCCATACCCCGGATATTTCGGTGCTAAAATGTGTCTTTTCATGGTGTCGCCAAATCTTGTGGTCTCGAAATGACTTTCCACAGAGACTACAGTAGACCTGGAAGTGATACATATTCTCATGGGAACGCAAGCTACCCCTACTGCGAAACATCTCTCTGCATCCCATAACTGGACATGAGAAGTACTCAGCTCTTCCATCGTCTTGGTCTGTACCACACGCATTCTGGAATGAAGGTTGTATTTGTGGAATATCGGTCACTAAATCCCGTGTTCTGCTGAATACAAGACGCCGTTTAGACGTTCTATCATCTAATTGTATCGAGACGGGCTTCGAGGGTCTTGATGAAGGAGGTGTTGACCGGATATCTGTAGCGGAGTGACGTCTGTTGTTCGCAGAGAGGCGTCGATTCAGTTTCAGGCTATATCGTGCGCTGTGCGTTGACCTTGTAGAATAGGATCCAGAGGACCCAACAGAGTGTGCTTCTGACATTGGCTTATTTTTCTGACCGGGAATCGAACTCTGTCCATAGTAAGGAATCCGTTGCAGATAGGAGGGAAGAGGGGCGTAGGTATCGAAATGGGTGGCCGACCGCATTGGGTCATTGGAACACGGGACTCCGGATCTGCCACAAGGAAGGCAGGGAAGGTTCAAATCACACTATAAATCTCAGTACGATATGGAGGATATAGAACATAGTTTGAATAACTTTGACTTACCTCCAAGTCCCAATCTTTGCACCGGTCACAAAATTTGTTGCACTGGACCCATTCGGCATCTGATGAAATCTTCTTTCCCAAATCTCCACGAGGATCTTCTTCGTAAGCGGGTTCGATCGATGCTGTCTTATGTTTTAATGACGGAAGACGCATACACATAGAAGCAGTATCTTGCGCGCCCAGATCTTCTAGGGAAGCAGTTCGTAAAGCCGTCTCAATATCAACATAATCTGCCTCAAGCTCCGAGGAACTTATATACCTCATAATGGATGATCCAAGTGAATTAGGCCTGTCTTGATCTTCGCCATAACTAGGCGCTAATTCGAAAGCTTTAGTCAAACCGTCTCTTGAGAGAGTGAGAAGTTCAGACTCAGTTGGATCATGAGGCTCTGAGTCTTTGGTTACTATATTTCCTTAGCGAAGGGTATTCGCGTTCCCATGTAGACTTTCACCTACCCTTTGGAAAGCCAGTTTCTCTCACAGATGCATCAATGATCGGTAGACTATCTTGAGTGGAGTCTTGCAAAATGTCTGGAACCTTTGTTGCTTGCATTGTTCGTATATTTCTTCCATTTCTCCAATTATTAATCTTGTTTTGAACTTGGGAAAGTGTGAGGAAATTATAGCTGTTTGCGAAATCCTGTTTTTGTTGCTTCGTTGGCTTTGAGTTATTTGTAATCCACTTTTCGAAGCTGCGATTCTCCTCAGCAGTCCACTCTCGTCTTCGTGAAACAGGAGGGTTCTTGTTTCCATCGTGACCCTGCAGCTGGAGAATCAGCAGCGCTCCTCTGGCAGATAGGAGCCGAATCACTTGCAAGGCCTAGAAGACCTTGGAGTTGATAACAAAATAAAACTTGCATTGCCGTGATATACGTTTGTTATTTGAGATGAGACTACGTTGCCTGTAGTCAATTTGGAGAAGGCTGGGGCATGGTCTTGCTTCCAGTGAACGTCCTGGAGCTGGTTGCAGAGGGGACAGTCCAATGTCGGTTCATGACAGAAGACGCAGAGTTCGAAGCATTCTGGACAATTCTCCATGATCTCGATACCTCTCTTCGGTACTTGTATCGTATATTAGAAAGTAAGTGAGTGTGAGGTTCAAAAATCCTGGGGCTGAGATCTCCCCAGCCGCATTGAATCAGGCAACGATTCAGGCATTCAGACTTTGTGCCTGATCATTTCAGGCAGAACACTTGAACGGTCCTTGCTGCAAGCCTTATTGCTTAAGACTTAATAAAATATTCTCTTATTTTCTTAAATATATTTGGTATGTATTGAGTATTATTCACTTATTTACTCATCACTCTCTATTAAGGAAAATGTGCAGGACACGCGAGTGTGCGCTATATATATCTAGAACAATAATTACAAATGCGAACTTATTGACGATGACATAACCTTTTTTTTTCAACTGAAATGAATGATCCTCAAAAAGTAGGCACTTTTGCCTTGCTAGCCTCCCTCTTACTATCGGCAAAGCTAACGCAAAGCTAGTGACTCTATCCCCAGACGCACAGATCGCTCTCGCTTTCGGCACAGGAACCCTGTTAATTGCCGCCATCAAACTTCTGTGGAATGTGATATCTTCTTATAAGAGCAGTAAGTGTTTTTTTAAATAATTATTGGTCTAACATGACATTGAGACCTGACTTTGACCAGAAACGAGTACGAAAGATCTCGAGGCTCAGGATATTGCAATGTGTGGACGAGAAGATTATTTGGAGATGGAAAGGAGTAATGAGAAACTTTGCCCCTTGGAAATACTGCCGCCGGCTTATATAATAGACAGAAACACACGTGTGTTTTGTTGATGATAAGATGATATTTTTGGGATAGCTCAAATGGTCATTTCTGGTTGAGTGTAGCAGGATAAATCACAAGATTTAGCCTGCTTTGTCGTACCAAGAATCATTCTCTCAAACTCTCAAACTCACAAATCTACAAGCCTACGAGCCTAATAACATCAAATCCTATTTGAACTATCATTATCTCCTGTTCTTCACATTACTTCAACCCAAGATACACTATAAATCTATAAGACATTTCATTTTAATCTACTACTTACTCTCTTCTATCTTTTATAAACACACTTTCATTTCCAATTCCCGTTTACAAAATCGAAAGAAATTTTGCAGATGAAGACAGTACCTGTTCCAAACAACAAAACATTAGGTGCTGGGACCAGTAGGGAGGCAGTTTTTATAACCGTCCAAATATTCTCATTCCGTAAACACTTCTAGCTCGGGTGATTTCTGTGCCTCGCATACCATAGCTATCATAGCAAACATTATTGCAAGAAACCATATCGAGAAAAAACCTGAATATCCAAGTTCTCCTCTCCTCCTATCACCTTGCGGTAATTAATACTAGTCTAGGAATCGTAATTAATTTCTGCAAGGTTTGCAACGGACTTGGGTTATAATATATTTGATTACAAGGAAGTCTTACGTAAGGAGGACTTGTAGGAGATTACGAGAGTGCTGATGATAGAGATGTTTGAACTTATGTAATAATATGTAAAGTTCGAAAGATCTTGTGATCGAGGCGGCATCCGGATCGGAAAGTTTCGGTAGTTGGGAACTACCGGTAGCCTCTATGACTTGCCATGCTTACTAAGCCTTTGAGATAAACAGCTGGAGATAAACGTATCATGCTGGGTTTATGTTTTTAAGTGCTTTTTGAAAGGTGCTTTGGAAGGGTTTATAATGCAGAGCGGGCCGAGCAGTGCAGAAGCATTTTAGCTCTTCATTTCTTATACTTTCCTACTTTGTTCTCATTTAGGCGACATTGGCATAAGGTTATGATAACTTAAGAACGGACTGGAAACGATAAATAGGTAGCTAATCCAAAGGTGGGCGATGTTGCAAAGTAAGCTGTGCAGGGCAGAGAGTATTGATGGAAAGGAGCTAAGCAAGGGCAAAACTTCTCGCCGCGGTCGGCTCGGCTCTTTATCAAGCGAGATAAGGATGCACAAAGCACAAAGAGCGGAAGCCAAAAAAAAAAAAAAGGGTTTCACATGCAGCCAGAACCCGAAAATTCCAATTACAAAAACAGCACAAAAAAGAGTAGTTCCAATTCAGGTTCTACTGGGAATTGAACCCAGATCCCTGGAATCAAAATCCAATGTGCTAACCATTACACCATAGAACCATAGCACATTTTTCATGATTTCTAATTGGATGCCCAACTTTTGCTTATTGCAATCTATACGGACGTTTGTGCTGGACGCTAGCGATGGCCTCTCTGAATCAAGGAACTTGGAATTTTTCACCGACGGCTTCGACTTTTAAGGATAGGGGCTCGCTTCTAAATACTCCGACCTACGAGCGTCACGTGCTTCCCCCACCTTGGGGCCCCGGCAAACAGGCTGAATTGCTTCTCCCCCACACTCCGTTGCCCGTGCATGTTGATGCATCGCCCATCACAGCCCATTCACGCCCATTCACGCCCATTCACGCCCATTCACAGCCCATCGTCGTGCACGCCGCCAGTGCTGACTGTGGTCGCTCGTATGCAGCTCGTATGCAATTCGAACGAGACATGCAAGGACCGGCCGTCCACCGTGTCCACTGTCGACACCGATGTCCACTCCAGTGCTGCACGACTGTACAGGGCCACTGTACAGTCACCAACGCTGCGCTCGGCAGTGTCGGGCCCCTTCCTTGCTGCGAGAGAAAAGCTCCCCCTCTCCCTCCCCTCCCCTCTGCCACGGGCGACGGGGCCCCAGGGAACTTCTCCCGACATCCGTGCAGGGCGGAAGCTCGCGCGCAATGAGGTGAGCAGCGGGCGGTGGGCAGGGCAGGGCAGGGCAGTCAATTGACACTATTGATGCCAGATGCCTCCTCTCCCACTTTTATGTGCTATATACCGCCCCGCTCCCCTATATCCTGCTTACATCCTAGGTATTTCTTTTTTTTCTTTTGATGAAAAGCACTACCCGTCACCGCACCCGGTGTTGCGCACAGAAGATATAACTGCAAGTCATGCCTGACCGACCTTCGTCACCATTCGATCGTTCATAGGGCTAGACCTGCCACGCTGGCAATGGTTGAGGAGGTGAATACGGGCGGTCATGTAGCTGCCGACGACGTTGTCTCGAGTGCGAGTGCAGATGCGAGTCGACAATCGATGGATGTCAATCGACAGAGTTCAGCACGGCATTCGATGGACGAGTATTACCAGCAAGAAGGCATATCCGAGCCTCCCGAGGCTCCCCCTAATTATGACGCCTTGCTCGAATCTCCTACCTTACGACGACGGTTCAATATCCAGCCTCGAGAAGATGAAGGACGAGAGGTTCTGCCGCCGTATTCGTGCGAGATCAGTGTCCAGAGTGTGTTTCTGAGGAAGATGGAACTGGAAGGCGCAGTACACAAGGCCCATGATAGGAATTGGTATAAGGTTCTGGTTACATTACAAGGGACTGCACTGTCATTTCACAAATACCAGAAGCCAGGAATGTTCTCGACGGCAAGGGATCAGAGTGGGCGGAAGACGGGTCCGGATTTTCCCTCAGGACTGAAGCGTGGACAATTACTGCGGAGTTACAATCTTCAGCATGCAGATGTAGGAATTGCTGCAGATTATCTGAAGTGAGTCAATTGTTCCTGGGGAATTTTCCGCTCCAAATAGTGTCTCTATTATAGATTTCTGGCAGGCGTTGCTATATTTCCTCTCAACAAACTTTCTGAACACAAGACTAACTCTCCATAGAAAACGCTATGTGATCCGAGTCCGCGCTGAAGCAGACCAATTCCTCCTCTCCTGCCACAAAATTGAGACTTTCGTCCTCTGGCTCCAATCTCTCTTCGCAGCAATCGACCTCGCACCGCCCCTCGACGATCGAGAGATTCCACGAGACCTCAGCATTCCTCGTCGAGTTCGCCGTCGAGTAGCAAGAGTACCATTCAGCGATGCTCCCGCCAACACCGCCCTCGTACGAGAGCAAGAAGAAATAATCTCTACCCAATTCCCCCGCCTGGCTGAGACAGACACCATCTCGGGAGAGGCTGGCATCACTACCGACCAAGACGACCTCATTATCGAGGAAATCGAATCCAGCACCACCTCTCCATCTATCTCTCGCCCCGTCTCCCCACCATCCCTAAGTCCCAACACAACAGACTCCAGCCCCACAGTAACCACACCCTCCACCACCACCTCTTCACCCACATCAACATCAACAATCCCCTCCTCCCCTCCCCCTCCTCCCACCACACACACCCGCACCTCCCTCCTCTCCCGCGCCCGCCACGCCATCTCATCCACCCCCTACCTCCCATCCGTCTCCAGCACCTCCCACTCCTCCTCCACCACCACACCACCCAACCCGAACCTAACCAGCGACGGAAAATGGCGGCCCCAACACCAATGGACGCATTTCTACGACATGATGTACGCCAAGCGCTGCATGGCCGTCCTTACTCATCGCTCGCCGCGAAAGAGTAATTTGGTTATTATGAAGGGGAAGAGGTGGGTGGTGGATTGGGCGACGGGGAAGTTGGAGAGGGCGGAACCGCCGGAGTATGGGGAGGTGGTTACTGCTGGGAATGGGAATGTGGATGTTAGAGCGTGGAGGGGGAAGGTTGGGAGTGGGAGTGGAGATGGGGAGGTAGTGGTGTTGCAGAGAGAGGTTAGGGTTAGTTAGTATGAGGATGCGAAGATGTGAGGATATGATTAGATTTCCATGACTGAGATGAACTGGTGATTTGGAATAGGGGATAGAGAGGTAGAGGTAGCGCTTTATAAATTTGGTGGAGTTTTTGTTTTTTTGCCGGGAAAATGAATGGAATTGCATGCATGCATGGCGTGGTGAATAAATGGGCTTTTGGTTTGGGTTGGGTTTGGGTTGGGTTGGGTTTGGTTTGGTTTGTAATGCTGTATTGTATGGACTGGACTGAACGGAACTGGAAGGAGGAAAGGAAAGGAAAGTAAAGGAAAGTATAAAATGCATAGAGGGATTCACATTTGCATTCATTCATCCTTATCCTCATTCTTGTGGTACTGATGTTATAATTTTGTGATTTTGTGACTGAGTGACTGAGTGTGTGGGTGTGATGAAATTAATATTTAACATAGCTACCGGAATCGCAGAGCATAGCATCAGCTCCACTTTTGCGTCATGGTTATAGTTACCGTTACGAATATGGATATATAAAAGGATGTCACAGTATAAATGGGCCCCTAGAAGGGGCATTATCAGGTGATCAGGGCAGGGGGTAACGCCCTGCTCCCAGGACGTATATATAGGGGCTTTCAGCCCAGAAACTCTGCTCTTTAGAGCGTTCTCACTTTGTGACAAAGGAGTTGTAGAAATCAAAGCTAGTATCGTCAAGATGATAGATAGTATGACACTAAGATACCTTCTTGCTGAATGAATGAAGACCCCGGTATATCGTATCTCAATTCTTGAGTATAACGCTAGTCCTCCTTCCTTATTCTTTGATGGGTAGAGGTTCTGCTCTTATAATAGGGTTACACTGTAATCTTACAATGATGCCAAATCTGTTCCGATCAATCCTTGGTTAAGTTAAGCTAGAACGCTAAATTGATTGATTCCTCTTCCGCTTCTTTTGCGTCTGGTTCATTTCTTATAGTGTGATATTGGTCGGGACTTCATTGTTTGGTGAATGGCTTCTCTTTAATGATATGCATGGATGGATGGATGGATCTCCAGCCATATCATCATCTCAACCATGCCCAGATCATAACCATAACCATCCCTCCTACTCGCATCCTCAACCACATCCCAAACCTCAAACCCCACCACCCAACACCCTCCCCACCCCCCTCCCCTCCTCACTCAACTCCTCCACCCTCCCACTCCCACCTAACCTCTCCCCCGCCATCCCCACATCCCCCACCGCCCTCTCAACCAACCCCAACAACCCCTCAATCTCCTCCCTCTGCCTTCTAATCTCCTCCACCAACGTCGCGTTCTGCGATTGCGTCGTTTGTAATCTTGCATTCAGTTGCGAGTTCTGCGCTATGTGTAATGGTAACGTATGGGAATGGATTAGGGGGGTGGGTGCGAGTGTATGTGGTCTATTTCTCCCTCGAAAGAAGGGGGATGAGTTAGTGAGTGTTTCCTTTTTTTCTCTCTCCTTTTGGAAATAGCGGAGAGAATTGAGGGTTGGAATCAGAGAAAAGGGAAATGAAATTGGGAATTGAAATGGGAAATGGAAAAAGGGAAAAGCACATACACCACCGGACCCTCTTCTTCCTCCCCATCAGCAGCTCTCGCCCTCCTCCGTCTCGCATCCCCCACCACGCCCTCCAACCCATTCAACTTCTCCACCACATTCCTCTCCAGCAAAATAACCTCGAATTCCTCGCGGGCGAATTCGCGCAGTCGGCTCACCATCCCGTGATGCATGCCTCGCAGAGCAGAGTCGGCTTGTGTGCTGATGTTGGGGAAGCAGGAGCTGAAGGAGGCGTAGGAGATGGATGAGAGGGTCGAGTCTAATGCGGAGTTGTAGAGCGATATGAAGGCTGTTGCGCGGGGCCCGGGGGTGAGGGGGATTGGGGCGGGAGGAGGGGGGGAGGGGGAGGCTTCTGTGGAGGAGGCGGATGGCATTGTGTGTGGATTTGTGGATGTGTTTTGTGGGTGTTTGTTTTGTAGGATGGAGAGCTTTTTGTGAGGTATTGTGCGTAACTCCTTCAAATAATGCTTCGAGGTTTTGTCGTCGCCGAGCGTGTATTGTGTTGTGGTGTGTGGTGGAGAGGGGAAGGATGTGGTGTTGTAAACTTAAATCAAGAAGTTTGTTTACGCGATGTCGCGTCGTTGCATCGCTCCTCGGCACGACATTTCGAGCTTATCTCCAAAGTCCAAAAATAATTAATTCACGACGACACCAATTTTCCACAACGTCCTGATTCCTTCAAGACCTGTGCCAATCGATAGAATGGGTTCTCAGGTGGTATGCCCCGTTTGAAATTAATTGATTGATAGAGGGGATGATTTGATATTTATTTTTGAAGGGGTGAGGGTCACGTGAAGACGAATAAGAGAAATGTTCGTGGGTGAGGAGGTGCGAGGGCGTTGCATAGTGTGTGATTTTAAGAGAGAATTATAGGGAGAAGGGGTTGGAGGAATTGATTGCCAGTATTTTAACTACCTAATATTCTTACTACAACATTGATATCACGAA